AGGGCTCTTTTTGTAGCAGGAACTCCTTTGCATATTAGGCCACACCCCCTAATGTAGCCAATCCTCCAAAAGCTTACAGAGCTCTTCTTACAGGAGCTACTGTAAGCTCTCAGAGGATTGGCTACATTAGGGGTGTGTCGCTTAATATGCAAATGAGTACCTGCTACAAAAAGAGCCCTGCTTGCCAGTCAGCGAATCAAAGCCCTCAAAAGTGGGGGAACTCACACTGGGACCTGGGGGCTGGGAACTCTAGTGGGGACTGTGGCTGCCAGAGGAGAAACAGAAAAAAATAGGTAAATGGGTAGTAGGGAAGGGGAGAAGCTGCAAGCAGTGCCAAAGTGAAGGGAAGAAAAGCAAGAAGGGGAAGAGGGAATGGGGAAATACCCCCCTCATGTCCTTGTGGGTTCCCTACTGGTAATATATGTTATAATTTGTAATATATTTAGTTAAGGTAAACCTGAGTCACACTGAAAGCTAACATACAGTAAAATCCTATGCAGCATTACTCTAGTCCAAGCCTGATGATGGTCTAGCATTCCAAAATGCACAAGATTAAATGTGAGGATCCTGATGGTAATACAATGCTACGGCCTGCACTGATGAACCTGGAGCTGACTCGCACACTTCTTGGTCCTAAGCCTGGCATGCAGAGCCATTAAAGCATATGTGCACATAATGTTTGGAGCTGGGCACAGATTAGACCTAGATGCTGGGGTGGACCCTACCCCTCCCTTACCAGTCCACTGAGCAAAATTTAGTGATTGAAATATTTTAACCTCACCTTTCCTTTAGTTCAAATGTGAAGCCTTTGTCCAATCTAAGGAGCCTTCCTCTGGTTTAAGTGGCTCTTTTGCTGAAGGAAGAGCCACTTAATTTGAAGCAAGCCTCCTTAGTCTGGAGGAAGGCTATTTGGAGGATGATCGGATCCACTACAGTAGCCTCTACTTATTGTAGGACTGCTGTGAACTGAGTGTGATCTGTGTATGTTGTCTAGCATGTAAAGCTTGCTGGGGAATGATATTATAGGAGCCATTGTTCCTGTTGCCTCCATTACTACAGCTCTGTATGACTGGGCTGTCCCCTAATAATTGTGCTTAACTCTTGGGCCAATGTTATTGATCCAGTATTTTTTTTGGGGGGGGGGAATCACATGATGTGTTCAGCTTTGTTGTTGTTCAGTTGCACAGTCGAGTCCGACTCTTCACAACACCATGGACCACATCACTCCAGGCCCTCCTGTCTTCCGCCATCCTCTGGAGTTTGCTCAATTTCATGTTTGTTGCATCAATAACACTGTCTAACCATCTCACCCTTTGCCATCCTCTTCTTTTACCTTCAATCATCCCAGCATCAGGGTCTTCTCCAGTGAGTGCTCCCTTCTCATTTGGTGGCCAAAGTATTTGAGCTTCCGCTTCAGTATCTGGCCTTCCAGGAAACAGTCAGGGTTGATTTCCTTTAGGATTGAGTGATTTGATCTCCTTGCAGTCCAGGGGACTCTCAAGAGTCTTCTCCAGCACCATAATTCAAAAACATTTATTCTTCAGCACTCGGCCTTCCTTATGGTCCAACTATCACAGCCATACATTACTACTGGGAATACCATTGCTTTGGCCATATGGACTTTTGTTGGCAGGGTGATGTCTCTACTTTTTATTATGCTGCCTTGGTTTGCCATAGCTTTCCTCCCAAGGAGCAGGTGTCTTTTAATTTCATGGCTGCAGGCACCGTCTGCAGTGATCTTGGATCCCAGGAACATGAAGTCTGTCACTGCTTCCATGACTTCCCCTTCTACTTGCCAATGAGTGATGGGGCTGGATGCCATGATCTTAGTGTTGTTGTTTTTTAAGTACCAAAGGGTACACTTTTATTATTTTTCTTTATACACTACAGACATATATAAAAAACAACAACATGTAACTACCACCAACAAACATTAAACATCTAGCAGGAGGCTTACTCCATCTTCTATCTTTCAATTATCTATTTATTACATTTCAAATCTCATTATCTATTTTACTAGCTTATCTTTTCTGCGTACTCAAATTCCATCAGGTTATTACGCTTATATTATACCAGTCATAAAATCTCTTCCAAGTTTTTTGAAACGTCCATTCCGTTCCAGCTCTCATCTCCATTGTCAATTTATCATTCTTATCAATTCTTATTCAATTTATCATATCTTTGAGACCAAAGAGATTTTCAAGTTATAAGCTTTTGGGAGTCAAAGCTCCCTCTCAGCAGCTCATACCCAGAATATCTTGTTGGTCTTGAAGGCGTTACTGGACTTAAATCTGGTTCTTCTAATGCAGACCAGCATGGCTGGCCTCCTGAAACAAGTACTCTGCCATGGAGTCTTGCTGGGTGACCTTGGGTCAGTCATGCACTCTCAGCCTAACCTGCCTCACAGGGCTGTTGTGACAATTAGATAGGGTTACCAAGTCCTACCTGTTGCTGCAGCGGGGGACTCCCAGCTCAGTCCTGGAGAGCGTGCGCCACAACCATGTCACCTGGAAGTGACGCGACCACGCTGGGGGCGGGGCCACGACCATCTGAGGGGAAACCATAGAGTTTTCCCTTGGATGACCGTGGCCCCGCTGCCAGCGTGCCCGGCGTGGTTGCGTCACTTCCGGGTGACGTGCACGTCACGTACTTTGGGGGTGAGGTTCCCCCCGGGGCCCGATCCGCCGGTGGCGGGGAACGGGCCTCTGGGGTGGGGGTTTCCCTGCCCCCCGGGGGGACTTGGCAAGCCTACAATTAGATGGAGAAGAGAAAAGTGCAGATTTCTTTGAATCCCCATTGGGGAGAAAGTCATAGTATAAAGGAAGTAAACAAATATATACTTGGTGTCACTGATGTTAAATGTGCTGTGCAATGGTGTGTGTTTGTCCCTGTATCTGGTTTGTATTTGTGTGTGTGTTTGTGCATCTGAAGTATTTCTGCTTTTCCTTCAATAATACTAGACTCTGGAGTTCATTCTGTTGCATTGCCTCATAGCTTTGCTTGAATTTCAGTTTTCCTGTGTTATCTGTTACAGAGACAGGCTTTTTACAGGTTTTTAATTTTAATACTCCCTCATTGACACATGCTTATGCCAAGTCTCTGACAGCTGTATTCTTGTCGGCTTTATCTGGGCAAAAATTTATGGGCTTATTCCATATCCTCTGTAGTAGATGATAACAATGTACCCAAAAGTATCCTAAATGCTTAATGAAAAGTACATACAGGTATTCTTTCATCCTTGCTTATTCATGAAGTTAAGGACTAGTTTAATGTTGCAAAGCATTCCAGTAGAGAATGGAAAGTACAGAATAATACAGTATGTGTTAGCCATGAACAAAGGCAGAAATTTAAGTTAACAGCACATAATTAACTGAATTGCAATTTTACTTTCAACCATCAATTAGTGTCACCAGTTTTAGGAGCAACTGTCTTCATGCCCTCTAAAAGAAAACTTGATGCCCTTGTACCAACTAGCAGGGCAGTGAAACAGGGCCACCCACAGAAAAGGTAGCGGTTTATGCAGGCTAAGAAGAACCCCCTCCCAATAAACTAGGGTTGCCAGCCTCCAGGTGGGGCCTGGAGATCTCCCGCTTTTACCACTTATCCCCAGCCGACAGAGATCAGCTCCCCTGGAGAAAATGGCTGCTTTGAAGGGTAGACTCTATAGTATTGTACTATGCTGAGACCTCTCCCCTCCCCAAACCACGCCCTCTCCAGGCTCCACCCCCAAAGGCTCCAGGTATTTCTCAACCCAGACCTGGCAACCCTGGCCGGTTCTGGCCCCCGGGCCGTATGTTTGACACCCCTGGATTATATGGTCTTGTGCTGGGACTGTACCATGGATCTTTTCGTTTGCTGGATCTCTTCTTTCCATTCCTGTTTGCTTCTCTGACATCTCTGTCTACTTTGGCAGGGGATTCCGCATTTCGACCAGAGTTGTTATCAGAAGTATGGTAAAATCTGGGGGTGAGTATTTTTTTTTTGGTTTTTAGTTTTGTCTTATTTGAAGCATTTCTACAGACTCACATGATAGGGAGGGGAAAGGTCGTCTGGAGGCTGCTTAAACAATCTCCTAGTGGTTAATTTCTAAAACGAGCCTGCAAGAAAAGAGGTCATGCTTACTTGGACATCGCAAGCTCTGGCTTCCAAGCTGGGCGGCCAGCCCCCCCCCCAGTGGAGGTGGATTCCCCCACTACTAGGCTGTGCCCCCTGCCATGGGTCAGCTGGCTGTCAGGGGGACTTACCCGGAGGAAGAGGAAGGCCCAGGCAACATTGCTGGTGACGTAGTGCTATCACTTCCTGTGCGGACAGGAAGTGATGTCATCACACCAGCGATGTCTGGGCAACGCTCTGGTATTTGGGCAAAAACTCTACAGTGGAAGTGGTTGTTTTTTTTAACCATAGAGTTTTTGCCCGGATACCAGAGCATTGCCCAGACATCGCTGGTGTGATGACATCACTTCCGGTGCGTGTTCTGGCGATGTTAACAGGGCCTCATTCCCACTCTTGGTAAGCGCCTCCCCCATCACCCCCGGCAACCATACTTCAGAGGTCCCTTGCTGTTACGGGAATAGCTTGGTTTGAGAGTACACTGGGAATTTGTCTTCACCTCTTTCTCTGGTGGCAGTGAGGCCTCTGCATCAGCTGGTTTGAGACCAGTTGCCCCTCGGTTTCTTGTCTCTCAGGACGGTCAATCAGTGACCCTTCTGTCTGGTCATTCTGCAACTCTATGGTGTTCAGAAGTTCTTATTTATCTCGTTCATACTTCCCCTCCCTCCCTTTGTGCCATTCCTGTTAGGTTAAGAGGACATTTTGGCAGGGATCTGTCCATTTTGTTATTTATTTGTCTAAAGTAGGGGTCTCCAACCCTTTTGACCCTGCAAGGACCTTTGGAGTCCTGACACAGCATAAGGGGTGTGGCCACAAAACGGCTGCCGAAAACGGTTGTCGCCGGAGGCGGGGCCAGCCACAAAACAGCTGCCACGGTGTTATCTTCAGTTCCCACTCTGAGAATCTTTGCACTGGGGTGGCAGCTACTGCCAAAGATCTTATCTTCTCTCCCCTGCTTTATTTTGGCAACTAGGCTATCTCTCCCCTGCTTTATTTTGGCAACTAGACTATTCGATGGCCGCCAGCCGCTGATGGTCATTCTGGATCCCGTCATTATCAAAGCCATCCTGGTGAAAGAATGCTACACCTATTTCACCAACCGCCGGGTAGGTATCCCGCGGGGGGCTTTTCCGAGTAAAGACGTCCTAGGTTGTTAGCGCTTCTGAAGAGATGACATCGCCAGTCTCTGGGCATGTACAGAAAGACTGGCTCCACAATGGCGGTTGCCCCTCACTCCCGGTTTCGTTTTTCTTTGCATCTCTTTCCGCTCAGAACTTCCGCTTGAACGGAGACCTAGAAAGTGCCATAACGATAGCCACCGATGAACAGTGGAAGAGGATTCGCACCATCCTCTCACCCACATTTACCAGCGGGAGGCTGAAGGAGGTAAGAAGCGAGGCCCTCCCAATCGATGCTGGGGAATGGATATTTTTGGCCAACAGTTTTGTTCAGTTCTCCAAGTGCTGGGGCTATTCAGAAATTTTTATTGGCATAAAGGGGGTAGATGTATAATAGCAGGGGGGGCCCCCCCCATTTGTTCAAGGCCAAATCTCTTAGCCGACTCACTTTTGGTGCTCTACGTGCTGCAAAGGATTCTGGGCCATCTTCTAGGCCACATGATCAGTGTTCCCTCTAAGCTGAGTTAGTGTGAGCTAGCTCAGAGTTTTTTTAGCCTCTAGCTCAGATTTTTGTCTTCGCTCAGGAAGGGACGGCTCCAGAGCAAACAGCCAAATGGCTCGCTCACAACTTTCATGCCAGGAGCTCACAAAGTAGAATTTTTGCTTACAAGACTCCACAGCTTAGAGGGAGCATTGCACATGATTGGTTGATCCCAGGCACCAATCGGGCGAGTTGGGTCTTTCCTGTTCACCTCTATGACCTGAGTATGCGACCTAGAGCCCAGTCAGTCACGCTTCCTGCATTCACACACGACTAGGGGTGTGCAAAAAAATAAATATATTCGGCCTCATTAGGATTTGGCCAAATCAGGCAGAATCAATTTCAGCTGGCAGAAAGACTCCCGCATGTCAATTTCGGCAGTACCAGCAGATTCAGGAGTCTCTGCCGAATGTCAATTTCGGGCCCATTATATCCTATGGGCCATTGAAGTCAATGGTGAAAACATAGGGTATATTCTGGGGGCTGGAGGGGAGCGGGTTTGAGGGACCTGATGCTGGGAAAGATTGAAGGTCAAAGAAGAAGGGGACGGCAAAGGATGAGATGGTTAGACAGTGTCATAGATGCAATGAACATGAAATTGAGCAAACTTCAGAGGACGGCGGAAGACAGGAGGGCCTGGCGGGAGCTGGTCCATGGGGTCCCGAAGAGTCGGACTCGACTGTGCGACTGAACAACAACAAAAAATTGTGGTTTTCAAACTTGCTACGTTTCTATGTCAGTTTGTCTGGAAAGGAAGCCCTGTGTGCTGCAAAGGATCCTGGGTTATCCTCTAGGCCACATGATCAGCTGATTCCAGGCACCAATCGGGCGAGTTGGCTCTTGCCTGTTCACCTGTCCTACAGCCCAGCCATTCACTCTTCCTGCATTCACATGTGACACAGAGAAGTTGGCAGAGATGTGCAAATGGACTTCTAGGGAAATCTGTCTGCCATTGCCGATCTTCTCATTGAGGGAACCGCCAGTAAATCTTAGGAGGAACTCCAGAATTCACTTTGCGAGCAACTTAGACAACCGACATGGAATTTCCTTTCCTTTTGGTTCATACGCAGTGTAATGGGAGCATTGCAGTCTTTTGATCAAATTCTCTTATTCCATGTTAAATTCAAAAGGGCTTTTCTATGCAGGCAATAGAGTAAATCAGGGGTGTCAAACATGCAGCCTGGGGGCCGGATCTGGCCCCCGGGGGGCTTCCATCAGGCCCGGACTGGAACTGGCCGTCTCCTGCTTCCAGTTACTTCACCAGACTCTCTCAATCGCTTCCATGTTTTCCCCTTGGTCCTAGACTCAGAACTCTGAGCATGAGATTTCTGTGGTGGATGTCAATAAATCAAAAGTAGGTTTGCAGCTTACAGATACACACCTGAACAGCATACTCAGGATTGCAACAGCACAGACATTTTGATGCAATAATTCAGAGCAAAAGTGCTAATGTTTTAAGCATGTTTTTATTTTTAGTTTAAAAAATCTTTGTGTTTATGTCCTTTATAAAGTTTGTATCTCCGCTACCTGGCATTACATTCTATGACACACCTGGCCCGGCCCAACAAGGTCTCACATGTCAGATCCGGCCCTCATAAGAAATGAGTTCGACACCCCTGGAGTAAATTATTCACAAAGTTACATAGAAACATTATTAAGGACTGTGGTCTATACTACTGTGTTTAGCTTGCTGAAACTAGGGTCCTACTGTATAATTTTGAGATCATACGATCCCATGTTTCAAGTGCTCTCCGTCCGCATCCACATTATCTGCCCCGGAATGCCATCGTCATGTAAGGGCCTCTCAGAATTTGTCTTACTTTGTTTCAGATGCTGCCCATCATTAACTCCAATGGGGAGAAACTGTGGAAGAACGTCCAGAAGAAAGTGGATAACGGTGAACCCATAGCTATGAAAGAGTGAGTGATTCTTACCCACCGAGTCGATTTTACAACGGGAACCGAATCGCATTCAGTCAGAGGTCTCGACACCCAATAAGAGGCACCTGCTATTTCGTACAGTATCTACACCGTCAGAAATTCTCCTCTTTTGAGTTCCGCGCAGTGGCACGTGTCCGTAAAACTCTGCTCAGCTAAGTTTGAAGAATTCCTTCCAGTTTAAGCAGAAGAGCCGCTCCAGTTGACGGAAGACTCCTTCGGCTGCGGGAAGGCGTCAAGCTTTGCTCAGCAGAATGGTAGGGATATGTCCATATCAGTTTGGTGCTGGAACTGCCTGGTATTTCAGACTGCCGGCTGGGAAGACAGGACTGAACCCTTCTCCAATTAGGGGGGAAAACTCCTTTTTGTATAAAACCAAGAATGAAGTTAAATTAGCAAGACCCACACGCGTGGCCTGTTGTTCCAATTCACAGGAAAAGAGACAGTCCCCCAAAATGCATGGGTTTAATGGGGTGATGTTGCAAATGCCACACGAGGGGTATTATTTTTTGCAATTGGCACATAATTAACATGGTTTCAAATATGAAATACATGTTCTGTATGGTTTAAACTAACATGATGCTTCTACATGTGTGTAAAATGCTATCAAGGCGCAGTCGACTTACAGCAACCCCAGCAAGGGGCTTTCAAGGCGAGTGAGAAGAAGAGGTGGTTGGCCATGGCCTTCCTCTGCAGAGCTTTCCTTGGAGGTCTCCCTTCCAAGTACCAACCCTGTTTACCTTACAACTTAAGGTGACCCCAGCAAGGGGCATTCGAGGCAAGTGAGAAGCAGAGGTGTTTTGCCATCACCTTCCTCTGCAGGGTCTTCCTTGGTGGTCTCCCTTCCAAGTACCGACCCTGCTTAGCTTACAACTTAAGGCGACCCCAGCAAAGGGCTTTCGAGGCAAGGGAGAAGCAGAGGTGGTTTGCCATCACCTTCCTCTGCAGGGTCTTCCTTGGTGGTCTCCCTTCCAAGACTTATGGTGATCCCAGCAAGGGGCTTTCAAGGCAAGGGAGAAGCAGAGGTGGTTTGCCATTGCCTTCCTCTGCAGAGTCTTCCTTGGTGGTCTCCCACTTACCAACACTGCTTAGCTTCCAGGATCTGACAAGATTAACATAAGAACATAAGAGAAGCCCATGTTGGATCAGGCCATCCAGTTCAACACTCTGTCACACAGGGGCCAAAACCCAGGTGCCACCAGGAGGTCCATTGGTGGGGCCAGAACTCCAGAAGCCCTCCCACTGTTTCCACCACCACCCAGCACCAAGAATACAGAGCATCACTTGCCCCAGACTGAGAGTTCCTAGCTATACCTTGTGGCTAATAGCCACCGATGGACCTCTGCTGCGTATGTTTATTTAATTCCCTCTTGAAGCCGTCCATGCTTGTAGCCACTGCCACCTCTTCCTGTGGCAGTGAATTCCATGTGTTAATCACTCTTTGGGTGAAGAAATATTTCCTTTTATCCATTCTAACCCGACTGCTCAGCGATTTAATTGAGTGCCCACGAGTTCTTGTATTGAGAGAAAGGGAGAAAAGGACTTCTTTCTCCACCTGCTCTCTGCACTTTTCCCAATGCTATGATATCCTTGCCAGTTTATTGTAGTGGTTAAGTGTGCAGACTCTAATCTGGGAGAACCAGGTTTGATTACCCACTCCTCCACTTTTTCCCTCCATAGAGAGAAATGGAGGGGATGGGGGCAACCTGTTTGGGGGCCTGTAGAATTGGAACCCCTCGTCCAACATTCTTGAAACTTGGTGGGTATCTTGGGGAGAGGCCCCAGCAGCTACCCTGTGAGCCTCTCTCACAAACACCCTCCCCTCCAGCCCCCAGAATATACCCTATGTTTTCACCATTGTCTTCAATGGTCCATAGGATATAATGGAACCGAATTGCTGCTGAAATTCGGCGGCAAGCCGATTCAGATCAGAGAATCTGAATTGGCCCTCAGCAGCCCAAAAGGGGCCCAAATCCCTAGGTTGCACCATCGATTTATACAGGGGCATTATGATACTGGCGGATTTGTTTTCAATTCCCTTCCTAATATTATTGCAGGCACACACTTGTCTCAACATTTTCAGGTAGTCAGCTGTGTTGGTCAGTCTCCACCAGTTCAGACCCCATCAACTTTGCACTTGGCCACATTGAACCCCGTTTGCCACGTTGACGCCCATTCACCCATCCTCAACAGATCCCTTTGGAGTGCCTCACAATCCTCCCTGGTTCTCTGCACCCGGAACGTTTTAGTGTCAACTGCAAATTTAGCCATTTCACTGCCGTTTCATGCCGCCGTCTCTCCCATGCTTTTTATGTATCCATACTTTAATGGAATTGTAATTTTTTAAAGATCATACCTGTGATTAATGCATACATACACAGATATTATTTATTTGCCATACAATAAATAAATATTTGCCATACAATAATTTTTTGCCATACAATAAATAAATAATATCTGTATAGGTAAAGGTAAAGGTTTCCTTGCTCGAAAGTCAGTCGAATCCGACTCTAGGGTTGCAGTGCTCATCTCTGTTTCAAAGCCAAAGAGCCAGCGCTGTCCAAAGACGTTTCCGTGGTCATGTGGCCGGCATGACTAAACACCAAGGCGCACGGAACGCTGTTACCTTCCCACCGAAGTGGTACCTATTTATCTACTTGCAATGTCTTGCTTTCGAACTGCTAGGTTGGCAGGAGCTGGAACTAGAGACGGGAGCTCACTCCGTCATGCGGCACCCGGGTCTCGAACTGCTGAACTACTGACCTTCCACAGCCTGCAGTTCAGCGTCTTAACCACTTGAGCCACCGCAGCTCCTAATATCTGTATACATATGTATTAATCACAGGTATGGTCTTTTTAAAAACTATAATTCTGTCCAAATACGGAACTTTAAACAAGTTTGACAGAAATACTACAATGAAGAATGGCAATTATTTTGAGTTTCACCAGCTGACACAACATGGATGCTTTTCTCTGAGACGGGCTTCATGTGTCATGGAACCCATTCATGTTTCATGTATTTATGTGTCTCCCATCTCTCCTCCTTCCACAGCTTATTTGGGGCCTACAGCATGGACGTCATCACCAGCACTTCGTTCAGCGTTGACGTCGATTCCATGAACAACCCCAACGATCCTTTCGTCACACAGATCAAGAAGTTCCTCAAGTTCAGCTTCTTCAGTCCACTCTTTCTTCTCCTTGGTACGGGATCTTTGTGTGCTACGGAATCTGGAAAGTACCGTGACCCCTTCTTTAAAAAAAAAAATGTGGGGAGTTGGACAGTTCCAACGTAGCGTTTCCACCTTCTTTTGAACATTGTACATGGTCTGTCATGGAATTGCTCCTCCCTGCATGGTATTGGTAGATCTCTGAACCCTTCAATATGATGTTTTAACTGTTGTTATGGCAATTGCCTTTGTTGTAGCCGCCCTGAGTCTGCTGGGGAGGGCGGAGTATAAATCTAACAAATAAATAAATAAATAAATTCAAGGCCCAAGGGGCCTGAGTGAGTCACCTCCCCCCCATCTTTTACACTGGTCTTTCCCAAAATGAGAAAGAACATTTCTATATAATTCTTAGAACTGATTTATCTGAGAAACCACTGCTTTCATGTAGGAGAGTCAATTTGGTGTAGTGGTTTGGAGCGTGGACTCTAATCTGGGGGAACCGGGTGTGATTTCCCACTCCTCCACTTGCAGCTGCTGGGGTGACCTTGGGTCAGTCATAAGTTCTCTCAGAGCAGTTCTTGAAAGAGCTCTCTCAGCCCCACCTACCTCACATGGTGTCTGTTGTGGGGAGGGGAAGGGGAAGGGATTGTGGGCTGCTCTAAGACTCCTTTGGATAGTGAATGGCAGGGTATAAATCCAATCTCTTCTCCTCTTCTTCTGAATCAGTTCTAAGAATTATATAGAAGTTGTTGTTGTTGTTTTTCATCTTGAGAAAGACCAACGTAAAAGATTAGGGAGGGGAAAAGACTTGGGCCTCTAGGTGGGGTTACCAACCTACAGGTGGAGACTGGAGGGCTCCCAAAATTACAATTGATCTCCAGATGACAGAGATCAGTTCCTCTTTGGAGGGTGGACTTTATGGCATGTATTTAATTCAGCTTATATACCGCTCTTTTCCCGGAGGCTCTGAGCGGTTTACATAGACGTTATTCGACCTCCCCTAACTAGGGCCACAGTGTAAGGGAGGGAAGTGAATGCCTGCCTACCAGGCACCCAGACAGCAGGGTTCTTTCGTTGTTTTTCCTTCTTCTTTTTTCGTTCCATGGTGGGTTCTTTTTCCTCTCACTTTCAAGGCGACAGCACTTTCCGGCCCAGATCTTGCTCGACAGCGGCTCCCCCTGGAGTGGTTCCTGTAGCACGCGACTGTGCGACAGCTGCTGCGACTAGCCTCCGTCCGATTGGCATCATACCCCACTGAGGTTCCTTCTGTGTTGCCAAGAGGCCAATGGTTCTCTCGTAGTGGATGGATATTAGGGAAAACTTTTTGACGCTAAGAGTTGTTCAGTAGGGGAATCGGCTGCTTCGGGAGGTGGTGAGCTCCCCCCCCTGGCAGTCTTTAAGCAGTGTTTGGACAAACACCTGTTAGGGATGTTCTAGGCTGATCCTGCATTGAGCAGGGGGTTGGACTAGGTGGCCTCTATGGCCCAATTCTGGGATTCTACGAGTCCTCTAGGGGTTTCAAAAGCAATAAACACACCAGCGATAGAGGGAAAACGATTGTATCCTCATATCGACAAAGTGCTATGCCCATGTCCCTTTCGGCCGCGGGAACCCCAAATAATAGCAGCGGGTCAATTCCTGAGTGTTGGCCAATGGGCTCAGCACCAGTGTTCCCTCTAAGATGAGTTAGTGTGCGCTAGCTCATAGTTCCTTAGCCTCCAGCTCACACATTTATGTCTTAGCTCAGGAAGGATGGCTCCAGAGCAAACTGATTTGTGTGGTAGCTCACAACTTTAATGCCAGGAGCTCACAAATTTGAATTTCTCTTCACAAGACTCCACAGCTTAAAGGGCCGCATTGTCAGCACCATTCTGCCTCCTGGTCTGAGCTTGAAGGTCCAAAGGGGAAAAAGTAACACACACCCCTTGACTGATAGATGACACCACTGTGGAGAATTCTGCCTCATTCCAGCACCAGGTGCACCTCCTTTCACTCCTCAAAATGCATTTAACTCCTTCCACCCTGGTGCTGTCACAGTTTGGTGTCGTGGTTAAGTGCGCGGACTCTAATCTGGGGGGATCGGGTTTTGATTCCCCACTCCGCCACTTGCACCTGCTGGATGACCTTGGGCAAGCCATAGTTCTCTCAGAGCTGTTCTCTCAAGGACAGTTCTCTCAGAGCTCTCTCTGCCCTGCCTACCTCACAGGGTGTCTGTTGTGGGGAGGGGAAGGGAAATGAGTTTGTAAGCCGCTCTGAGACTCCAGGTGAAGGGCGGGGTATAAATCCAATCTCTTCTTCTTCTTGTAAGCCGCCCTGAGCCCGCTCTATGTAAGCCGCCCTGAGCCCGCTCGCGGGGAGGGCAGGGTATAAATGTAATTAAATAAATAAAATAAGTTCTTTTACAAAGTGATCTAGGCACAGAGGGAGTAACTTGTGGCTCACCATCATCACCGTCTCCTCGAATTGCAATCGTCTTCCCCGATGTGCTGCTACACCTTCCCTGCCCCAAACTGCGCGCTCTCCGGGCGTCACCCACTAGTCTCCAGGAATTTGTCAAGCCAGAGTTGGCAGCCTTGCCTCTAAGGATTCTGAAGTCCTATGGACTCCATGCAAGAGAGAGCAGTTCCGTGAGAGACCATGTACAATCTTCGTGTGGGAAACGTGTGAAGGACGGGCTTATGGTGTGGCTCCAGTGGTTTTGGATGGATTTACTTATTTTGCCATGAAGCCACAGCTGACTTTGGACAACCCCATAGAATTTTCAAAGCAAGACACATTCAGAGGAGGTTTCCCATTCCCTGCCTCTATGCAGTGACCTTGGGCTTCCTTGGTGGTCTCTCCTCCAAGTACTGACCACGGCCGACCCTGGTTAGCTTCCAAGATCTGACGAGATTGGGCTAGGCTGGAGCCATCCAGGTCGGGGCGATTTTAGCTACGCCTTCACAATTTAGGTGCATGCGTCCGTTCTAATGAACCAAACCATTGGAATGTTTGGTGTCGTGGTTAGGAGTGCAGACTCTAATCCGGGAGAACCGTGCTTGATTCCCCACCCCTCCACATGCAGCTGCTGGGTGACCTTGGGCAAGCCACAGTTTGCTGTGAGCTGTTCTCTCAAGAGCGGTTCTCAAAGAGCTCTCTCAGCCCCACCTACCTCACAGGGTGTCTGTGGAGGGGAAGGGAAGGGAAAGTGGATTGTAAGCCGCTCTGAGACTCTGAATGAAGGGCTGGGTATAAATCCAACTTTTCTTCTTCTTGGGTCAGTCACAAGTTCTCTCAGAGCTGTTCTCTCAAGGGCAGTCCTCAAGAGAGCTCTCTCAGCCCCACCTACCTCACAGGGTGTCTGTTGTGGGAATAGGAAGGGAAGGAGACTAAGCCACTCTGAGACTCCTTCAGGTAGTGAAGGGCTGGGTATAAATCCAATCTCCTCCTCCTCCTCCTGACTAAATGTTAGGCTCTGGTTTCTGAACTTCTTCAGCTTGGGCAGGCAGAAACGAATGATTCTTGTAGGTAGAAAAGAGTAAGAGTCCAGTAGCACCTTAAAGACTAACAAAATTTGTGGCAGGGGAGGAGCTTTCGTGAGTCACGGCTCCCTTCTTCAGATAGGTAAAGGTTAAGGTCCCCCTTGCTCGAAAGCCAGTCGAGTCCGACTCTAGGGTTGCGGTGCTCATCTCCGTTTCAAAGCCGAAGAGCCAGCGCTGTCCGAAGACGTTTCCGTGGTCATGTGGCCGGCATGACTCAACACCAAGGCGCACAGAACGCTGTCACCTTCCCACCAAAGTGGTACCTATTTATCTACTCGCAGTGTCTTGCTTTCGAACTGCTAGGTTGGCAGGAGCTGGAACTCACTCCGTCATGCGGCACACTCAGGTATCGAACTGCTGAACTACCGACCTTCCACAGCCTGCAGTTTAGCGTCTTAACCACTTGAGCCACAGGTCCAGGAGCACCTTAAAGACTAACAAAATAAGTGGCAGGAGAAGAGCTCTCATGAGTCACGGCTCACTTCTTCAGATACAGCTCGAATGTGAGTCCATCTGTCCTTATATTATTAGGTTGATGGGTTTCCATTCTGTACAGCTAAACATGGCGCCTTCCTTGGAGATAGATCAGCATAGGTAGCCATGTGAGTCTGGCTGTAGCACTAGAAAAGAGCAAGAATCCAGTAGCACTTTAAGGACTAATAAAATATGTGGCAGGGGAGGAGCTTTCGTGAGTCACTGCTCACTTCTTTAGATACAGCTAGAATGTGAGTCCATCTGTCCTTATATCTTGGAGAGTGGAGTGATTTCAGATGCCAAATGACATTGGCAGGCCAATGACAATGGAAGGCGTGATTGGATTAGGTGTGATATGCAGAGGAGGTAGTAGGGGTGGAGAAATCGGTATTGGTAATGAGACGGGAAACCTAGGTCTCGATTCAGTCCAGGTGGATGCATTGTCTTGAGCTTCGTTATCAGATGCAATTCAGCAGGTTGTGCACAAACTGATCTGTTTGTGCTGGTGCTGACCCTTCTTTCTGGATCATCCTGAATATGTGAAGGACATTGCAGATGCGATTGAAATCATCCAAAGCTTTGTGATGCAGGAATGTTGCCCCATGGAGCAGTGCTGTCACATGGCTTCATTCCAAGCAGCCAACCGCACTGCCGTTTGTAGGAATGAATTGGACCGTAATTAGACATTCGTGCTGGGCAGAGTCAAACCATCTCATTCATGGTATTTAAGGGCTGCTTCAAGATATAAGAAGGCTTCACGTTTTTCTGCGCGGTGTGCTGAGATACACACCACTCTTGGGTGATTCAGATCTGGTTCCGTGAAAGCCACTGTGTCAGGGTCTTCTCCCTCCTGGAGAGGGTGGGTTTTCTTCTTGAACTGTTGCATCTCTTGAACGGCCACCTGACTTTTCGCCTCCTCAGTGATCTTCCCATTCCTCACTCCTGTGCTAGAGAAGCTAAACTTCACTATGGCACCAGCCTCCTCCATGAACTTCTTTGTCAACGCGATCAAGAAAATCAAGAATGACCGGCAGAAGAACAGTCACACGGTCAGTCTGGCCCTTATGAGTCTGTGGTCGGGGAGGTATGTGCACTTGATTCTTAAAAATAAGGTTGATTCTCCATCGAGATAGAGAAATTCAATATGAGTACTACCACAGACCCAGTTGAAAGAGAAATGTGGGTACTAATGGATAAATGGTACCCGATTCTAGAAAAACTAGATGTAGACAAGCTTGAATGGGAATCCATAACAGAGACAAAATGTAAGCTATTAGCTTTAGGATAATGTACCAGTTGGTCAAGAATTTAGCTGCAAGAAGCTATGAAGAACATACAATTTAGCTCTTGTAGCTGAAAATACTTCTCTTTCATGTAACTCTAAGTACCATAACGTTATACCAACGTAAGAGTATGTAACTTCCACCACAACGGTGGCATCTTTACAGTCATGTTCGAGATGCTTACAAGTGTTGATTTCTGTACAATTTCCCAAATTTTATTGAATTATCTTGTATGCTGATTGAATGATAATTAAAAAATCAAAACAAAAATCGAGATAACCCATCCTATACGCTGCTGAATTGATTCCTGGATACCTTGTCCTATAAGAAAGGCAACTGGGTATAGTATTGCCTCTTGCTTGATTTTTTGCTTCTCTGTTTTTCCCTAGAACCGAGTTGACTTTCTGCAGCTAATGATGGACTCCCAGGTTGCAGGAGAGAATTCTGAAGAGGCACATCCATATAAAGGCAAATATTACAGATCTTCCCCGGCTGTTGGCTGTTCGAGGAGGTCCTGTGGGAGAAAGGGAGGACCTACGTTGGATGTTGGTGGACTACGGGGAAACACAGCAACTAGGATAGAAGAAGGCCCCGTTTTATGGTGAAGCCGTTTCAAGTTTTAGTGCCATGGGGAGAGGGCTGCGCCCTTGGATATTTTCAACAAGATAATAGCGAAAGCACAACAAATACACGTGAAGCGGCCTTGTACTGAATTAGCCCCTTGGTCCATCAAGGTCAGTGTTGTCTACGCAGACCGGCAGCTCAGATTACGCAGAGTGTCCAGAGCCAGTTTGGTGTCGTGGCTAGGAGCACGGATCCTAAACCGGGAGAACCGGGTTTGATTCCCCACTCCTCCACATGCAGCCGCTGGGGTGACCTTGGGTCAGTCACAAGTTCTCTCAGCGCTGTTCTCTCGCGAGCCGTCCTCGAAAGGGCTCTCTCAGCCCCACCCACCTCACAGGGTGTCTGCTGTGGAGAGGGGAAAGGAGTTTGTAAGCCGCTCTGAGATGCCTTCGGGAAGTGAAGGGCAGGGTATAAATGCAATCCCTTCTTCCTCTTAAGCAGAGGTCTTTTGCATCACCTGCTGCCTGGTCCTTTTCAACTGGAGATGCCGGGGATTGAACCTGGGATCTTCTGCATGCCAAGCAGAAACTCTTCTCCTGAGCCAAAGCCCTTCCCCGTATATGTGTTTTGAAAGCATTTCTTGTGGTTCCTCCTTCTATTTCATAATAACTGCAGCAGGGGTATCGACGGGACCTTTCTGTATTTCCCCACTGTGGCGAATGGGATTTTTTGCCTGTGTAGGGGGATTTATATTAGGGAAACAACACTGGAGGGTGGAGAATCCTGGTTCCTTCTTTCCCTGGCCTTGACCCCCGCCCATGTCTGTCCTACATAGGTCCTTTTCTAAAGTTCATGCAAGGGGATCCAGTGGCTATTTAATAGACATATTTTTCTTACTTGTCCCCCCCCCTTCTTTTCTAGCTCTGACTGACAAAGAGATCATTGCACAAGCCATTATCTTTATTTTTGCGGGGTACGAGACCACCAGCACCACCCTCAGCTTCCTGTCTTACTGCCTGGCCACACACCCAGATGTTCAGCAGAGGCTACAAGAGGAGATCGACGAAGCTCTCCCTGACCAGGTAAACGTTCCCAGTGTTTCAAAGCCGAAGAGCCAGCGCTGTCCGAAGACGTTTCCGTGGTCATGTGGCCGGCATGACTAAACACCAAGGCGCACGGAACGCTGTTACCTTCCCACCGAAGTGGTACCTATTTATCTACTTGCAATTTCTTGCTTTCGAACTGCTAGGTTGGCAGGAGCTGGAACTAGAGACGGGAGCTCACTCCGTCATGTGGCAACTCGGGTCTCGAACTGCTGAACTACTGACCTTCCACAGCCTGCAGTTCAGCGTCTTCACCACTTGAGCTACTGCAGCTCCACCGTGTTAACTGAGCTTGGCCCAAATGAAGAAGAAGAAGAGATTGGATTTATACCCCAGCCTTCACTACCCACAGGAGTCTCAGAGCAGTTTACAATCTCCTTTCCCTTCCTCTCCCCACAACAGACACCCCGTGATGTTGGTGGGGCTGAGAGCTCTCTCGAGAACTGCCCTTGAGAGAACAGCTCTGAAAGAACTTACGACTGACCCAAGGTCACCCCAGCAGCTGCATGTGGAGGAATGGGGAATCAAATCTGGTTCTCCCAGATTAGAGTCCGCACTCTTAACCACTACACCAAACTGGTTTGCTTTGTCGGGACAGAAATTTGTCAAAGGAAGGAGTCGTGAATTTCAAAGGTCTGTTTTATTTTGGAGTGGTAGAAAACCTCTTGTAGCATGAGTTCTGACAACATTAAACTGTTCTTGCTGAGTTTGCAAGCTAACCAAGAGTTCAAACACTTTTTCAGCTCTCAGTGAACTCTGTTTGCTTCAGGTTACTTTCATCTTGGACAGTTAGTTGAAACGGTTACAGAAAAGTTAGATTAATGGCTCTTTAATAGACGCTGAGATTGGCCTTCTTAACATGCTATATCAGATATATTTCATACTCACCTGCTGATTGGCTTATTTGAACTTACATTGGTTATCTCATATTTAGTTATGAACCTATCAGTTACCTAGAGAATGATCACAGATTAAGAGAAAGATATGACTGATATGACAAATCAGACTTCTCTGAATGGAAATTTCAGAAGAAGGATAAGTGAGATTTCTTGGTGGGTGACTTCAGCTTTTTCATAATCTTTTAAAAGTAAAGGTAAAGGTTACCCTTGCTCGAAAGCTTGTCGAATCCGACTCTAGGGGGCGGTGCTCATCTCCGTTTCCAAGCTGAAGAGCCAGCGCTGTCCGAAGACGTTTCTGTGGTCGAGTGGCTGGCATGTCTAAAGGCTAAGGCGCACGGAAAACTGTCACCTCCCCACCAAAGCGGCACCTATTTATCTACTTGCAATTTCTTGCTCTCGCACTGCTAGGTTGGCAGGAGCTGGGGCCAGAGACGGGAGCTCACTCCGTCATGCGGCACAACAAGCTGAAACCTGATTTGTTTTTAAAACTATCACTTGTGGTAATATGACTAGATAATGCTAGGCCCTTTGATAATTTCGCATTTATCTTCATAGTAATTTCAGGGTTAACTTTTTCATGTGGGTTTTTTTTCTGTCTTGCTCAATTAAAAGAATCTCTCGTTACAAGCTGAATGCAAACAGGGTATATAAGAAGCAGTGACCTGCGATACTCGCGCGGGGGAGAAGGAGCTCCACGTGGAGGAGGAAGCAGCCGCGGTTGAGTCCTTCTCCCTGCCCCCCAGCACTCACGGCTAGGCCCACACGGCTCCCAGCCGCCGGGCCCAACAATCTTTCTCCCCCACACCGGCAGCAAGGCCCACGCAGCTCCCAGCCACCGGCCCACCAAGCTTTCTCCCGCTCCTGCCCAGGTACCAGCGGTGAGGCCTGAGCGGCTCCCAGCCGCTGGGCATAAGAACATAAGAGATGCCAATGTTGGATCAGGCCAAAGGGCCATCCAGTCCAACACTCTGTATCACACAGTGGCCAGAAATACCAGGGGCCATCAGGAGGTCCACCAGTGGGGCCAGGACACTAGAAGCCCTCCCACTGTTGACCCCCCCCCAAGCACCAAGAAGACAGAGCATCACTTGCCCCAGAGCCCCTAGCTATACCTTGTGGCTAATAGCCACTGATGGACCTCTGCTCCAGATGCTTATCTAATTCCCTTTTGAAGCCGTCCATGATTGTAGCCGCCACCACTTCCTGTGGCAGTGAATTCCATGTGTGAATCACTCTTTGGGTGAAGAAGGACTTCCTTTTATCCGTTCTAACCCGACCGCTCAGCAATTTCATGGAGTGTCCACGAGTTCTTGTATTGTGAGAAAGGGAGAAAAGTACCTCTTTCTCATTACAAACTGAATGCAAATAGGGTATATAAGAAGCAGTGACCTGCGATACTCGCGCGGGGGCCTGCTGAGCCTTCTCTCGCTTCCCCCCTCCCCCAGCACTGGCAGTGAGGACTGAGCGGCTCCCAGCTGCTGGGCCCACTGAGCCTCCCCCGTAATGGCCAGGGCATTCTCTGCACATGTGCAGGGAACGCTCTTTTACTTTTGGGGGGATTTAAGTATCCCCTGTATATTTTTTCAACTTTTCAGATTTTTCTGCACACCTGGGGACTGCCCCAAGTGTGCAGGAAAATCTCTTAGCCCCCCAAGTTCCCCCGATGTGCATATTTAGATACCCGCACAGAGGGGGCATCTTGGGTATTAGTATATAGGCAAGAAGGGGGACCCGCGATACTCGCGGGGGGGGAGGAGGAGATTCACACGGAGGAGAAGGAAGCAGCTGCAGGTGAGCCTTCTCCCCTGTCCCCCGGCACCAATGGCAAGTCCTGAGCGGCTCCCAGCCACCGGCCCGCCAGGCCTTCTCCTGCCCCCTGCCCCCCACGGCGGCAGCAAGACAGTTGCAAGGGCGTTCTCTGCGCATGCGCAGGGAACTCTCTTTCACTTTGGGGGGGGATTTAACTATCCCCTGTATAATTTTTTAAAGTTTTCAGATCTTTCTGCACACCTGGGGACTGCTCCAAGTGTGCAGGAAAATCTCTCTGCCCCCCCAAGTGCCCCCAATGTGCAGATTTAGATATCCGCACGGAGGGGGCAACTTGGCTATTAGATACATAGATAGTGATAGACTGCGGGATGTCTACGGGAAGATTGTGAGAAGTATGAAGATTCGAAGTAAGTACGAAATGTCGTGTCTGGATTGGCCTCAAATACTTGGAGCGTTTTATTTGTTGGCCACATTTCGTAACCGGCAATCCGGTGGAATGGCATTCAGTTATTCATAGCCCACTGTTGAATGCTGCCCCACACTAGGAGATATTTTCCCCCTTCACAGGCCACGCCCACCTATGACGCCATCCTTCAGATGGAGTACCTCGACATGGCGGTGAATGAAACCCTCCGGCTCTTCCCTCCATCACCACGGATTCTTAGGGTCTGCAAAAGCACCGTGGAGATTAATGGAGTGACTATTCCAGAAGGAACTGTGACCGTGATCCCGGCTTACGTCTTGCACCGTGACCCCGAATATTGGCCGCAGCCGGAAGAGTTCAGACCTGAGAGGTGGGTAGCCAGGAGAATGGGTTCTGAAACCGATGCATAAAAATAGTCGTGGCAGGAAGTAAGCCATCTAGTTGTGATCGTGGCAACACCTAAATAATGCATTTATCATTGTTTGACATACGATCTCTCTGTAACGCCGCACGGGACGTTTTCGAGGCACATGTCCATAAACCGTGCATGGAATTTAATTAACTCGGTCGAAGGAAATGACAACTCAGCCGGCTTTCGCAGCTGTTAACGCTGGCCCAGTTTTACGGCCAGCTGTTAAAAGGAAAACCACAGGGCAACTGCGCCAAAGACTTGCGGATCCATAACAGAAGGGGTAAAGACGTGAGCAGAAAGTGAATGTGCCGGTAGCGAGTTAGTCTTCCAAAGTTAGTCTTCCAAAGTTGGTAGTGGTGTCAAAGCCCAAATAAAAACAGGGCAGAACAGACGGTGATTTGCTCTAGGTCACGAAGGTAAAAAAGGTAAAGGTAAAGGTTTCCCTTGCTCGAAAGCCAGTCGAATCCAACTCTAGGGTTGCAGTGCTCATCTCCGTTTCAAAGCCGAAGAGCCAGCGCTGTCCGAAGACGTTTCCGTAGTCATGTGGCTGGCATGACTAAACACCAAGGTGCACGGAACGCTGTGACGTTCCCACCGAAGTGGTACCTATTTATCTACTTGCAATTTCTTGCTTTCAAACTGCTAGGTTGGCAGGAGCTAGAACTAGAGATGGGAGCTCACTCCATCATGCGGCACCCGGGTATCGAACTGCTGAACTACCCACCTTCCACAGCCTGCAGTTCTGCGGCTGGCTCAATTTGCTATAATCCAGTAGAAGATTTCACTGAACTTCTTCTCCATTTAAATGAACGGGACTGTTTCCCTCAATTGTGTCTTCCTGTTGCTTGGGGGGGGGGGGTCCTGTTTCACATGTGTTTTGCCCCTTCTAGTGGTCGATTCGATATTTATTTTACTTCTGAGTCTTGTATCCTGCCCTGCCCCGCAAGCGGGCTCAGGACGGCTTAACAACAAAAACCCAACCGCAGAAAACGTGCATTTAATTATAAAACAGTTCATTAGAACATTAGCTCAATGATAAAAATGTCGTCGGCTAATTCCTGACAGCGTAGCAATAATGTCTTCTTCTTTCAACAACTGCTTGGCTTGTGCCAGGAGGGCGGGGGGGGGGTGCTCTCCATAAACAGATCACTCAATCCAGGCACCCTAAGATGTAAGTAAGGCCATGGTGTCAGAACCCGCAGCCAACAATGAAGTAAACGCATTCAGGAATGGTAATATTTTTATTGCAGAGCTATAGATGCAGTAACATAAGCACTGTTAGGAATGGCGGCGGACCCAAGGGCATAATAAGATATAGGGTATTCGTATGCACACACACACACCCCGGCACTGGCCAATTAGGCATCCTCCCGCATGCGAGATAAAGCTTGGAGACCGTTAGGTAGCCGAAGCTGAGAACCAGGAGTCTCCCACGGCACCTAGGAGAAACCCAGACAATACAACACCCTCCTGCACATCTGTATAGATAAGCGTTTCGGCGCAAGGCAGAACAAGCACAGAAAGGAATGCAGTAGTAATTAACAAGACACAGACCGAGCTCCCCAACCCCCATGGCAGCGTAGCTGACATATGGGCACTGAAGCAGGGAAGGCCAATGTTATTTGACATCTGGCACCTCAACCAAAGGCCTGGAGGAACAGCTCCATTTTGCAGGCCCTGCGGAATTGCAGTAAGTCCCGCAGGGCCCTGATCTCGATTGGGAGCATGTTCCACCAGGCTGGGGCCAGGGCAGAAAAGGCCCTGGCCCTGGTTGAGGTAAGGTGGAAGAGCGCAAGGCTCTTTGGGGCACATATGGGGAGAGACGGTCCCGCAGATATTACATCACTTTCTGTCCAGCATTAAAAACCTGCAGTTTAAATCTGCAGGGAGATATGCCAGACATAAAGAGATGTAATATCGGATTGTCCACTAGAGGGGGCAAAGCATGGGTGGTGGTGGGGGGAAATCTTGAAGCAACAGGAACGCACTAGCGAGGAAAGTGAGAATGCAGAAGAGGTGGTGGGGTCAGCCATCGGGAGTCCGTTTCTGATGGGTCTCACTGAAAGAAACAGGTACGCTTACGTCATTAGATGAATATCAGTGACAATTAGATGTATGAGCTTCATTTGACCTCTTAGTTCAGTGGTGGTCTGTCTCAGGGGAACAGATACATTCATAAGTGCCGTCCAGTCACACCCAACTTATGGGGACCCCAGCAAGGGGCTTTCAAGGCAAGGGAGAAGCAGAGGTGGTTTGCCATTGCCTTCCTCTGCAGGGCCTTCCCCGATGGTCTTCAGTCCATGTACCAACCCAGGCCATACTGCACCACTCCACACCCGGTTTGGTGTAGTGTTTAAGAGCGCGGACTCTAATCTGGAGAACCGGGTCTGATTCCTCACTCCTCCACATGCAGCTGCTGGGTGACCTTGGGTGAGTCACAAGTTCTCTCAGAGCTGTTCTCTCAAGGGCAGTTCTGGAAAGAGCTCTCAGCCCCACCTACCTCACAGGGTGTCTGTTGTGGGGAGGGGAAGGGGAAGGAGATTGTAAATTACTCTGAGTGAAGGGCAGGGTATAAATCCAATCTCCTCTTCATCTTCCCATGAAGGACAAATGGGAGAACGGATAATGCCATTCTGTTCCTCTTGTGAGCCTTCCAGAAGCATCTAATTGACCTCTCTCAGAGAGAGAGAATCGTAAAACTGATGAGCCTTTGATCAGATCCGATGAGCTGGTTCTGTTCTTATCTTTCAACCTTGTTCAGCCTCTCAGTTCAATGAGTGGCTGGATCAAAAGTGCCCCTTGAAGTTACATTAGCGGTTTTCATGTTTATCTTTCCCCTGCATGTGTCTCGACAAAGGTCAGGCCCTTCAGCCGGTAGAACTATCCGGGGCCTATCATTGTGGTGTGACTACCATCGGCCGTAGACGTGCATATTTCTGCGATGAGCGTACCCTTTGGCTTTACTCATAGATCCACGTTTGTGACAAAAAAACAGATTTCCACCACAAACAACTCGTTTCCCTGAAGCACCAACTTCCATCAGTTGCCTCCCCCAAACTGAAAGAAAGGAGGTGGGTTTTGATGCCTCACATGTGGGACTTTCTCTCCTGTGGACAGGTTCAGTAAAGAGAACAAGGAGACCCTGGACCCCTACATCTTCCTGCCCTTCGGAGCGGGTCCGAGAAACTGCATCGGGATGCGCTTTGCTCTCCTCACCTTGAAACTGGCCGTCGTCGTCCTGCTGCAGAGATATACTTTCCGAACCTGCCAAGAGACTCAGGTAGGCCACAGGACCTTTAAATGCAGGGCGCATCGTTTCACTGGATCTGAACACACAAAGCTTCCTTGTACTAGAAAAGAGCAAGAACACCTTAAAAGGTAAAGGTTCCCTTGCTCGAAAGCCAGTCGAGTCCGACTCTAGGGTTGCAGTGCTCATCTCCGTTTCAAAGCCGAAGAGCCAGCGCTGTCCGAAGACGTTTCCGTGGTCATGTGGCCGGCATGACTAAACACCAAGGCGCACGGAACGCTGTTCCCTTCCCACCGAAGTGGTACCTATTTCTCTACTTGCAATTTCTTGCTTTCGAACTCCTAGGTTGGCAGGAGCTGGAACTAGAGAGGGGAGCTCACGCCGTCATGCAGCACACTCGGGTCTTGAACTGCTGAACTACTGACCTTCCACAGCCTGCAGTTCAGCGTCTTAACCACTTGAGCCACCGCAGCTCCTAAGAGCACCTTAAAGACTTAACCAACTTGGTGGCAGGGGAGGAGCTTTCATCAGTCACTTCAGATGCAGCTGGAATGTGAGTCCTTCTGTCCTTATATCACTAGGCTGATGGATCTCCATTCTATACGGCTGAATGTGGTGCCTTCCTTGGAGACAGGTCAAGACGGGTAGCCGTGGTAGTCTGTCCAGAGCAGTAGAAAAGAACAAGAGTCCAGGAGCACCTTAAAGACTAACAAAATATGTGGTGAAGAAGAAGAAGAGAAGAAGAGATTGGATTTATACTCCACCCTTCACTACCCAAAGGTGTCTTAGAGCGGCTTACAATCTCATTTCCCTTCCCCTCCCCACAACAGAGGTAGGTGGGGCTGAGAGAGCTCTGACAGAAACTGCCTCTTTTTCAAGAACAGCTCTTATCAGAGCTACGGCTTGCCCAAGGTCATCCAGCCAGGTGCAAGTGGAGGAGTGGGGAATCAAACCCGGTTCTCCCAGATTAGAGTCCACGCACTTAACCACGACACCAAACCGGCTCACTTCTTCAGAGGAGGAGGAGGAGGAGGAAATTGGATGAATGCCCTGCCCTTCACTCGGAGTCTTAAAGCGACTTACAATCTCCTTTTTCCTCTCCTCACGACAGACAGCCAGTGAGGTAGATGGGGCTGAGACAGCTCTTTCCAGAACTGTCCTTGAGAGAACAGCTCTGAGAGAACTTGTGACTGACCCAAGGTCACACCAGCAGCTGCATATGAAGGAGTGGGGAATCAAACCTGGTTCTCCCAGACTAGAATCCGCACTCCTAACCACTGCACCAACCTGGTTCTGCAAAAGAGTTGGATTTATACCCTACCCTTCACTTGGAGTCTCAGAACAGCTTACAATCACTCACCACCAATGCTCCCTTCTAAGCTGTGGAGTCTTGTGAGCAAACATTCTACTTTGTGAGCTCCTGGCATTAAAGTTGTGAGCGAGCGGTGTGGCTACTGCAAAAATTAGTTTGCTCTGGAGCCCTCCTTCCTGTGCTAAGACAAAAATGTGTGAGCCGGAGGGTAAAAAACCGTGAGCTAGCTCACACTAACTCAGCTTAGAGGGGACACTGGGTCATGTGCCTACATCCTCCGGAAGTGATGTAGGCACATGAGTGACATGGGGTGGGGGGCGACACTTTGGTTTGGGTGCAAAACTCTATGGTAAGATGCAGGGGTCGTTTTGTAGAAAACGAGCTAGGGGAACTCATTAGCATAACTCATTAACATATGCCACACACCCTGACATCACCGGAAGTGTGTCATGAGGCCACACACCCCTGACATCACCGGAAGTGTGTCATAAGGCCACACCCACCACTCAGTTAGTCTTAGTCTTAAAGGTTAGTCTTAAAGGTGTTATTTGTTAGTCTTAAAGGTGCTATTTGAACTCTGGACTATTTTGCAGCAACAGACTAACACAGCTACCTTGGGGAAGCTCCTGGATGGGGCTGGGAGTCCTTGTGGAGGCCACATGGAGTGGCCTCGGCCAGGCAGAGGGGGAGGACGCCAACTTACCCTCCTGCTTCTTCCTCCTTCTGCAACAGAATGAGTCTGGAAGAAGGGGGCGGCCGGAAGAAGGGGCGGGGCTTCGTCGTGTGCCCCGCCCCCTGCACCTCACCCAGGGGAACTGCGATCCCCCGCGATTCCCCTTGAAATGACCTCTGGTAAGATGCTAATTCTACCATAGAGGTTTTGCCCACAAACCAGAGCATCATCCCCCGACGTGTCTACGTTGCGTTTATCTCTGGCTTCTTCCCTCCCTGCTTCCAGTAAGTGTACCCCCATCCCCCACCCATTCATCCGACGGACCGGCAACCCCAGCTTAGACCCACTTTTGGTGCTCTTGATAACCTGCATCCGTACGTGTGGAAAGAGAAGCAGATGAAGCAGATGAAGAGACGTGGGTGAAACACAGGCGTGGCCCCCGGTATTGTCGATTTCACTAACTGGCTTTTCTGGATTCTTCTCCCCCTCCCTGTGAATGTCAAAGGTCCCCCTGGAACTAGGCACCAAAGGCTTCATGCAGCCGGAAAAGCCCATCGTGTTGAAGATGGTCCCCAGAGCCCGTGCCGAACCGGAAGAATAGATGAATCAGAAGCGCCTCAGATGCTGCTGCCACCAGCTCCCAATTCCATGACTTTTGGCCCTCGCCTCACGTGGGACTCGTAGTGGAGCTGAAACAGAAGACGTTCAGGGTTGCCACTTTCTGGAAAGCCAGGGAAATGGAAATGGGTCAGGGGAAGTCAGGGAAATTGTGATTAAAATAGATCCAAGCAGTGGGTTTTTGACCTGCTGCTGCAAGAGTATGATCTGTTCTTGTGGCAAATGGAATGGAGAAGGAGCAGAATACAAGTGAAACTGAATGATGGCCTTTCCCAGTGCCACCTTTTTCTTATCTCCACCCCCAGCAACCAGTCTAATGTGCTTGTTGGGCTCTGTCCCGTCATGATTTCCAAGGTGTGCCTGTAGCATTTGCAAAGCTAGGCTAGTTTAAGTGTTTAAAAAAGGTAAAGGTTCCCTTGCTCGAAAGCCAGTCGAGTCCGACTCCGTTTCCAAGCCGAAGAGCCAGCGCTGTCCGAAGACGTTTCCGTGGTCACGTGGCCGGCATGACTAAACACCAAGGCGCACGGAACGCTGTTACCTTCCCACCGAAGTGGTACCTATTTATCTACTTGCAATTTCTTGCTTTCGAACTGCTAGGTTGGCAGGAGCTGGAACGGGAGACGGGAGCTCACTCCGTCATGCGGAGTTTAGCAATATACAAACGTCAAACATCTGTTTTCATCCCTACCTGCTAGTACTGCATTTATAACTTACATATAAAGCTAAGCATGCTTTGGGGGGTTACGCTTGTCTATGGAATGGGCGTTTTGTCTCCTGCTAAACCCAGCGCAGAGTTGCAAATGAGTGTTGCTGCTGTTGGATTTCACAGACAACTAGCACTTTCTGCTATGCACCATGCACAGTGAATTTTGCAAGTGTGATTTGCTTGTTCCTGCTGGATTTGACAGAGTACCAGCTCTCTCACCCTCGTTCCTGACTTCTCCCGTGTGTAAAGGTTGCAAATGAGGGTTGTCTGCTTCTCTAGATTGCAGAAATCCCACCTCCTTTCTTGCTGCTGATCTGCTCATTACACTCTCTGGAACCAGAAAGGGAAACTTTCCCAGCTTTGGAAAGTTCCTACTTGGCAGAAAACAAACCTGCTAACCTCTTGGTGTCAGGCAGGAGGTTCTGTGTACAGCTGTATCCGAAACCACATTTTGAAGATGGCTTCTAAGAGGACAGTTTTTAATACACAGTGGCTGGATTTCAAACGTCATCCCGACTTCGTTCCGTGGCTATCACCAGTTGCTGGAGACAAACGCAAAGGTTATTGTAAAGTGTGATGCAAAACCTTTGAACTAAGTAATACGGGAATTAGAGCTGTGGGGGCCCATTACGTCAGAAGAACCTGAAAGTTAAATCAAGTCAGCAGTCCATTGCAATATGTTTAGGTCCAAAGCCAAGTACAAGTTCAGATAGTGAAACCATAGAGGGTGAAGATTGGAAAACATGATCAGAGTGATGAAAATGGCAAAGAGTTACCCACCACACAAACTAGTATGGCTAGGGGTCATTTCCTGCGGGAGCGCACAGGAGCGGAGCTCCGGCAGTAAGGAGCCCAGGGGGTGGGCACATGCAACAAGCCCCGCCCCCTGCTCCCAGCAGCCCTCAGCTGGGCCACGAGGAGCAAGAAGCAGCCAGGTAAGTGGCAGAGCCCCCCCACCCGCCTTCAGGTACAAGCTCTCCCTCCTATGTGAGGGCAGATCTGCACATCCCCCTCCCCATAGCTAGCAATCCAAAACAGTCCAGTGGCACCTTTAAGACCAAGTTTTATTCAGGTACGAGCTCTCCCTCCTCTGAGAGGACAGATCTGCACGTCCCCCCCCCCAACAGCTAGCAATCCAAAACAGTCCAGTGGCACCTGAGCAGTGGGTGTTGCCTTCTGACACACTTCCGGTGATGTCAGGAAGTGTAGCATATGCAAATGTTATGCTAATGAGTTATGCTAATGAGCTCCTGCACCTCTTTTTCTACGAAGTGACCCCTGAGTATGGCTGCCTATGTAATCAAGGACGGTGCCAGGACAGCAGAGGGCCTGTGGGCTTTGCAACTGGTGATGAAGAAGGTGGTCATTTAACTCTTGTAACAGCATCAGTGAGTTATTCAAGCGAATGTTCTCGGATAGCCAGATAGCGCAACAGTTTCATTGTGGAAAAACAAAAGCAATGTATGTTGCTGCTCTTGGCTTGGCACCATATTTAAGAACATAAGAGACGCCAATGTTGGATCAGGCCAAAGGCCCATCCAGTCCAACACTCTGTCACACAGTGGCCAGAAATACCAGGTGCCATCAGGAGGTCCAGCAGTGGGGCCAGAACTCCAGAAGCCCTCCCACTTTGGCACCATATTTAAGAACATAAGAGACGCCAATGTTGGATCAGGCCAAAGGCCCATCCAGTCCAACACTCTGTCACACAGTGGCCAGAAATACCAGGTGCCATCAGGAGGTCCAGCAGTGGGGCCAGGACATTAGAAGCCCTCCCACTGTCCCCCCCCAGCACCAAGAAGACAGAGCATCCCTTGCCCCAGAGCCCCTATCTATACCTTGTGGCTAAGAGCCACTGATGGACCTCTGCTCCATATGCTTATCTAATTCCCTTTTGAAGCCGTCCATGCTTGTGGCTGCCACCACTTCCTGTGGCGGTGAATTCATGTGTTAATTTCTCTGATCTTTTACTGAAACAGCTGCAACAATGCCAAACATTTGTTATCTGTTTTGATGAAGCGTTCAATACGGTGGTTCAAAAGGGACAGATGGATTGTTCGTTTTGGGGATGATTACTGTCATAAAGTTTCCACATGGTATCTAACCAGTGTTTTTCTTCAAACTGCTACTGCTGAAGACCTCCTTCAGGAGTTTCAAGAAGGCATGTCTTCTTTATCAGTTGCAAAATTATCACAAGTATCTATGGACGGGCCAAATTTAAATCGCCTTTTTCTGAGAAAACGAAAAGAAGAAATTAAAACCAACCTTGACTGTGTGTCTAACAACTGTAAAGAAGAAGGAAAATAATCGATTGACTTTGGGTCTTGTAGCCTTCATGTTGTACA